GCCAATAAGCATGTGAAAAGTTGCTCATCATTAGGAATCAGGGAATGCAAGTTAAAGCCGCAATTATATCCCACTAATCATCCATTAGATTAGCTAAAAGTAAAAAGAATGAGCATGCTAAGTGCTCACAGGGATATGGAGCAACTGAAACTCTCACTAAGTGCTAGTAGGAATGTAAAATGATACAACCAGTTTGGAAGGTATTTTTGTAGTTTCTCAAAAAGTTAAACACACACCTATGATAAGACCCATGAATTCCACTCTGAAGTATTTACACAAGAAAAACAAAGATGCCTGACCACACATAGACCTTGCATGAATGTTTATCACAGCTTTATTTATAACAATCCCAAACCGAAAATAACCCAAACATCCAACAAGTAAATGGATAAACAAATTGTTGCATATCCATAGAAAAGAACATAACTCAACAATTAAAAGGAATAAACCACCGATATGTGAAACAACATGAATGGATCTAAAGTGTTATTATGCTCAATGACAATTCAGGAAAAAAGTATACACTGTTTATTCCAATTTATATAGAATTCTACAAATGACAAAGTAATCTATAATGACAGAAAGCAGAGCAATGGTTGCCTAGGGACTGTAGAAAAAGAAGAGATGTTTTACAAAGGGTCTCAAGAAAACTATTAAGTATGGTGAAAATGTTTTCTATACTGATTGTGATGGTTACATAGGTGTGTACATGTGCCAAAACTGATCAAACTGTACACTTCAAATATGTGCATTTTATTGTACTTTAATTTTACATCAATAAAGTTGTACCAAAAAAATGGAGGGAGACCAGGTACAGTGGCTCATACCTGTGATCCCAGCATCTTGGGAGGTTGAGACAGGTGGATCATGAGGTCAAGAGATCGAGACCATCCTGGCCAACATGATGAAATTCCATCTCTACTAAAAACATGAAAATTAGCCGGGCATGGTGTTGGGCATCTATAGTCCCAGATACTCAGGAGGCTGAGGCAGGAGAATTGCTTGAACCTAGGAGATGAAGGTTGCAGTGAGCCAAGATTTGGCCACTGCACTCCAGCCTGGGAGACAGAGCAAGACTCTGTCTCAAAAAAAAAAAAAAAAAAAAAAATAGTGGAGGGAAGAGGATACAATTTACTGACAAAAGCAATGGGTTCCAGCCATACACTGATTTTCTATTCACTGATCTTTTCACTGCAAAACATTTAGAAATGATTAATAAACTATTACAAACATCCTAAGCATACACTTTGGGCTCCCCTTGAAGAGCAGGGAGAGAGGTTGCTGGTCTCTTAAGCAAGGAGCCTTAGTTTTGATAGTCACTCAGGGACAAAAACTTGGCCCTTACAGGGTATGAGACTGCCCTACATTCCTGAGATCACTGAAAGGCTACCCTTAGTGAAAGGCTGGACTAGAAAAAAAATTCACATGCTGGTCCAGGATGAAAATAAGGAAGCTAGGAAGAGCTCAGTGGCTCATGCCAGTAATCCCAGCACTTTGGAAGGCCGAGGCAGGTGATCACTTGAGACCAGGAATTTGAGTCCAGCCTGGGCAACGTAGCAAAACCCTATCTCTACTAAAAAGGCAAAAAATTAGTAGGGCGTGGTAGCACGTGGTAGTCCCAGTTACTTGGGAGGCTGATGTGGGAGGTGGAAGTTGCAGTGAGCCAAGATCTCACCACTGCACTCTGGGCTAGGCAACAGAGTAAGACATTGTCTCAAAAAAAAAAGAAAAAAGAAAAGAAGGAAACTTACGGGCCTTGTTTGCCTCTGAGAATATATAACCACAACCTATCCCTCAGATGCACTTAGGAGTTGAATTTATACTATCTCTGTAGTCAAGGAAACCCACCATAAATACATTAACTTAAAAAGTGGTCCAGCTTGGAAATATCCCTGAGGCAACTGGCAGAAAAAAGACACAAAATTTCTCTGTATGGCAAAATTTTTAACCAAGCCTCACCAGATTCCTTCAATAATACCTCACTAAAAGCAAGCTCACAATACAAAATTACCAAATATATAAGAAAACCAGAAAGGCAATAATGTGTGTACAACAAATGTACAACACTTGGGTAGCACTTTGTTGCTAAATATTCGAATGTTTCTAAGCAGGGCAATTTCAAGTAATCCACAAAATCTGGTAGCTTTTCCTCGTGAAGAAATATTTGGAACTCCATTAAAAAAATTGGGAATGATATTCTGCCATACAGGTCCAAGAAATGAAGGATGCAAGTTATAAAATAATAAACATAGCTTGAGACTTCATTTTAAAGAAAAACTACAGAGGTTATATATTTGTATGTACTTATAACAGAATATAGAAATGTATACACCAAAAACTTACTAAAGAGTAGGATTTGAGGAGGATTGAGGGAGAAGAGTTTTTAAAATTTGCATATTGTTCAGATACAGTTTTTTCTTTTGGCAATGAGCATTTGTACTTTTTAAAAAAATAATAAAGGAAAATCTTTTTAGGAGACCTTTTGCTTATAGCAACAATAGCAGTTATTTTGTCTTTGAAAATAATAGATGAAACCCAATTTTCTGAGTGCAGTCTAACTGCTCGCTACAGTTATGTCAAGTAATGAACTAGGAGAAGGACGAACCCAAGATTTTTTGAAAATCCTGTTTTTCACACTTCTCGTAGTTTGGCATTCTGTCACCTACAATGTAATTACTCAGAAGTGGTTCTTAGAAAGTGTCCCCTTCCGAAAATAATGCTCATTGAGAACAAAGTGGAAATGATTCAAGAACTGACTGCTGGTCACAACTGTCTTACACAATAAACTTTATAGCTATGCCTCAGAGATCACAGCATTAGAAAAGATGGTGAGATCATCCATTCACTTGTGGTTGACTTAGATTTAGTCAAGTAATCAAAGAAATTCTAGTCGATGCAGAATGATTTAAAAACATATGAACACTAAAAGACTAGTAACTCTGTATTTTGAAGAATTGAGTTGAGATGTGAAAAAGATGTCTTACTGAAAAAAAAAAAAAAAAAGATGTCTTGCTAAAAGATGTGACCATTATAAATGTGGAGAAATAATTTGCTATGTTTTAAAGATAAAAGCCTTGCTGGAGGTAAGAGATACACAAAGTATAGAAAAAAAGGAATATTTTCAAGACAATTTTAAAAATAGTAAGGCATTTTTGTTGCATTAAAATTTAGCATCTGAAATTTAGCCTTTGAAGAATTTCAAATGGATATATTTCGTAATAAATATCTGAATTATGAGAGAGACTGAGTTGATTTTATAGTTTGCTTTTAACAAAATTTATCCTCCCATTGGCCAAATTCGGGACAGAGACTGTAAAATGATTGTAAAACATCATATAAATAAAACTCCATGTGTCCATAGTGATATTCAAGGAAAAAAAGAGAAAACAAGGCTCTTTTTTAAGAATGTCAACTAACCAAAGTAGAAGGAAGGATATTTAGAAAACTTCATTTTGCATCCCCAAAGCAATCATTGATTCAGGCAAAGATCAGCCATGGCCGGGTTCAATGGCTCACGTCTATAATCCTAGCTCTTTGAGAGGCTGTGGTGGGCTGATCACCTGAGGCCAGGAGTTCAAGATCAGCCTGGCCAACACGGTGAAATCCCATCTCTACTAAAATACAAAAACTAGGCTGGGCGAGGTGGCTCATACCTGTAATCCCAGCACTTTGGGAAGCTGAGGCGGGCAGATAACGAGGTCAGGAGTTTGACACCAGCCTGACCAACATGATGAAACCCTGTCTCTACTAAAAATACAAAAAAATTAGATGGGCATTGTGGCACATGCCTGTAATCCCAGCTACTCAGGAGGATGAGGCAGGAGAATCACTTGTGAACCTGAGATGTGCAGGTTGCAGTGAGCCGAGATTGTGCCACTGCACTCCAGCCAGGGTGACAGAGTGAGACTCTGTCTCAAAAAAAAATAAAAATAATATATAAAAACCTAGCGTCTTTTTTTTTTTTTAATGTGGGGAGACTATTCTAGACTACAAAGACTAGAAACCTACAACCTACAACCAAACGCAATGCATAACATTGACTGAATCCTGCTTTGCAGGGGAAGTAGTGGGGCAGAAAGCTGCTATCAAAAAGTTCTTGAAAAACACTGGGAAATTTTTGATGTATTTGATATTACGAGTTACTACTGATTTTCCTTTAGTGTGATCATGATATTGTGGGTTTACAAGAGAATCTCCTTGTTCTTGGGTAATGTCTGCTTTTTAGAGATAAAATATCAAGATACCTAAAATTTACTTTAAAATATTCTATCAGTGTGTGGTAGGGAGAGGGGAGGATTACTATTATAATCTGTCTTTGACCTGGAAAATCAGTAATATAGGTAAACCCAATACATAACTACAGAGTTACAGCAAGCATGACAAAATGTTGGCAACTGTTGAATCTAGGTGGCATATAGTTGTTCATTGTATTAACAACTTTTCCATGGCCGGGCGCGGTGGCTCAAGCCTGTAATCCTCACACTTTGGGAGGCCGAGGCGGGTGGATCACGAGGTCGAGAGATCGAGACCATCCTGGTCAACATGGTGAAACCCCGTCTCTACTAAAAATACAAAAAATTAGCTGGGCATGGTGGCGCGTGCCTGTAATCCCAGCTACTCAGGAGGCTGAGGCAGGAGAATTGCCTGAACCCAGGAGGCGGAGGTTGCGGTGAGCCGAGATCGCGCCATTGCACTCCAGCCTGGGTAACAAGAGCGAAACTCCGTCTCAAAAAAAAAAAAAAAAACAACTTTTCCATGTTTGAGATTTTTGTAATAAAAAGTTGGGAGAGATAATTATTTTCAGAAATGTTTTCCTTAGATGACACCTTTAATGCACCTTAAATTTTAAAGTACCTTAACTAGAAGTTGTCTGCTTTCCTTCATTTGCTTGCTCATCATCCTTTCAAACATTAAAACCTATCTGTATACAGCAAATATTCTAATGGTAGACTGGCAAATATAAATCTCACAAATAACACCAATAACAGCTCAAGATTTATAGGTATAAACATCTGGTTTTATACCCAAATAACAAACTTAACGGCAGTAAAACAAATCGTTTATTACTGCATACGTGTTATATTAAATTTACACAATGATATATAAAAACACATACTGTTTATATTATACAGTAATTTAACATCAACAGGAATATCAACACAAGTACTGCTCATGCACAAAACATGCATATATTGGTATACAAAAAGCAATTTTACGCAATACTGTTTACCAAAAAACTTTTTTTTTTTAAAAAACAGCCCTTCCACATAGGATCAGTGGTCCAATCTGGACTGGATTGCACTAATAAGTTCAGGTCGATGCTTAGGTGGCATAGCGCTCAGTGAGCAATTCTGGGATTGGAGTCATGCCCAAGGGTTATTTCATTAAAAGTGAATGTCTCTGTGCCTGAGGACCAAAAGTTTATCCCAAAAGCAAATCCTCCAAGGAATGAAAGGATGGATCGTCTACAAATTAGGGAGGGGAAAGAAGGCATCAAAATGTTGAATAAACGGCCCTGGAAGGGGTTATTGGGAACAGGGCCTAGGCACCAAGTGTGGCAAAAGTTTTTGTGGATCCTTTTAAGTCCCTATCCAGGTTGCCATCTCTGGATTTAAGGTCTGGCCTACAAGTCATGAGTCCAGTAAAAAGAACAGTTCGGAGAAGAAAACTGAATTAGGATACATCTGAGAAATGTAGACTACAAAAAACTATAAAATACAATGGCTGCCCCTTGTACCTACTTCACACTATTGTACGTGATGCCCCTCAACAGGAAAACCCTCGTGGGGATACTGCCCCGAAGACTCAAGGAGCAAATACAAATCCAAAAATCCCATCCACCTGACCTTGGGATCAAAAGGTCTCATCCCAATAAAACTTGAACATCCAAACCTGTACCTTGCCGGATGCTCAGAAAGTTTAAAATACAAAACAGCTGGTACCACAAAACTCACTATCACCACCATTAAAACCTCAATATTTACTTCTAACAAAACATTCTTTACCTTCCCTTAAAGGCACTAGCGTCCATATGTGATGAAGATGAGACAATAATTTATCTTGGTTTTAATCTTAAAAGAAAAGCATTCCATGAAAGTATTATACAAAAGTCAAAACACCATCTTTTTTATTTTGGCAACTAGGGAAAAAAAAAAAAAGAAGGAAAAAAAAAAAAAAAAGACACTTTCTACACCAATGACGTCACTCAGACCGTCGTCATCAGTTTCAAAGAGCCAGACCGAAAGCGGAGGATCTTCTTCTTGAGGTTATGTGAGGCCTTAATTTTGACAAAGGTTTTTGCAGGGTGGTTGTGAAGGTCTGGGGCCGTGACCGTTTGAATGGGGAGAGTCTGGACGAACTGGGACCAAATCAAGCCCCCGCTTTCTTCGGAGTCGCTGGTGGTGGTGCTCTCCCCCACGAACTCCCCCTCGCTCACACTCGACTCGCTGTCCCCGAAGCAGTTGGTGGTGTAATTGCTCTGCTCGTCCTCACTGGTGTCCACCACGGTGGAGTGGAACAGGGACTCGCACTCGGCCGAGTACTCAGAGTCGCTGGCCACGTAGGCGTAGGGGCTGGCATAGGGCAGAGGCACTGGCGCGGGGTACAGCCCCACATTCTCCCGGCGACTTCGCCGGGCCCTCCTCAGCGCCTCTTCGTAGGAAATCTCGGCCGAGGACTTCCACCTGCGGTAGTCGGTTCGCTTGTGCTTAGGTTTGGCCACCACCGCCTCCCGTCCGTGGCCGTGCGCCCTGCTTCCGGCCCTGGGGCCCCCGCCAGTGAGCCTTCCGGGAAGACCGGCCTCGGGCCCACCCCCGCTCTTCCTCCCCTTGGAGGAGGCTTTCTTGAGCTTCTTATTTGTATCCAAGTCATCCGGGAAGCGACACTTCTTGCTCCCGGCCCGCGATTTCTCCCTGACGGTGGGCAAGCCGTTCTCCATCCCCTGGAGGACTTGGCCGCGGTGCTTCAGGCTGGAGCTCTTGGTGACGCCCACGTTCCTGTGGCCCCGATGGAGCCTGCCGCTGGGCTGCTGCCCCGGGATGAACTGGGCCTTGACCAGGTGCGCCTCCTCCAGGCTTTGGGAAGAAGAACCCTCGCTCTTGAAATCCAAGGCAGGCCTCTCTTCCAAGGGGAACGCTGGAGACAGCAGGGGAGGAGCGGCCGGGGGGACGCCCTGCAGGCTGCTTTTCGGTGACATCTTTTTCAGGGGCTGGACAGCTTTGTTCTCCTGCGGCAGGGCGGGGCCTCTGCCAGGACTCTCTTTTGGAGGGGCCCCCGAGAGGGGAGCGCTTTCTTGAGGTGACTCCGCAGTCCCGATGGTGGGACACCAAGCATGCTCTTGGGAGGCTGGCTTGGCCGGTTTGGGCAGGTGCTTACTCTGAAGGTCGGAGGCAGCGCCTGGGGAGCAGCCCTCTGGCGAGGGCAACCTCTTGCCTTCTGCTTGCTCGGCCTTTGATTCCTTTGACCACGGCTTCGGCGGGGAGAAAGTCCCACTGTCCAGAGACGGGATCCCGCCAGAGGGTAGACACGCCTGTTTGGAATTCTTCAGGTTCACACTGCCGCCCTGTGACACGCTGCCCGGGGCTCGGACACACACGCTCCCGTTCCTCAGAAGCCCTTTCGTGGGGTCGGCGTTCACGCTGGTTCTTGGTTTGTTGGTCCTTACAGGGTGTGTTTTTTTCTGGACCAGGCTCAGAATGTAGCCATCCATTTTCTTGCTGGATGAAGGATGAGAAGCAGACCACAGACTGCTTGGGGATGGTAAGGAGCTGTCTGTTTTGACGACATCCAGCTCAGATCCACTGCAAATGTCACTGGCATGGTTTCCGAGCCTGTCCTCTTCCCGCATAGGGCTGCCGGTCAGACAAAGGAGAAACATTGGGCTCTGCACAGCCACAGCATGAAGTGGACTGGGATAGCGATATACATCATTCCCGTTTTTAGACACCAGATCACACTGGTACTTGGGATTCACATCTGCAATGACATCAAGGGAATTAAATTGTGGTGTGGAGAGGGAATGGCAAACTGCCCCTGAGGCCTGGTCTTCACAGTGGCCTTCTTTATATTCCAACCATCCTATGAGATCTGAAAAATATTTAAAGGTACACTCTGAAGAAATGAATTGGTCAGCACCAGCTTGACTTTTTGGGCTGAGAGAGAATGCCAAGTATTAAAAAACACTCCACTAGCTGCCCTACCATTTGACATGTAGTTACGGCTACTGGATGAGGGGGAAATATTTAACAAAAATTGTTGACATCCTCTGAAGGAAAAATATTCAGACATTGAGAATGTTTTCAAACTACTGCATAATAGAGGGAAAACACTTTTAAAGTTTAGTGAAAATCATGATGTAATACTAGAATATTGTCGTTTTATCAGGATCACATGTATGCAAAGAAAAAATGTCTGAGATGAAGCACACCCAGATTCTAGTAGCAGCATTTCAGTGTGATGAGAAGCAAGTGATATTTACCTTCTTCTTTATTTTCTGTTTTCTAAATTTTCAGTAACTGTACCACATTTACAACTGGGAAAAATAAAATTTTTTGAATCACTGTTTCTCTAGGCTACTCTCCCCTCTGTGTTCTATTCCTGGGTAACTGCACATTCAGTAGGCTTTGACGTCATTTTGTGTTTTTAAACCTAATTCCTAATGACATCCATTCAAATATAATTGTCAATTGAAAGGTAAACTGATCAAACTTCAGTAAAGACTGATCAAGTTTAAATAACAGTCATCTTATAGTTTCCTTTCTTTTTTCTTTTTTTTTTTTTTTTTGAGATAGAGTTTTGCTCTTGTGGCGCGATCTCGGCTCACCGCAACCTCCGCCTCCTGGGTTCAGGCAGTTCTCCTGCCTCAGCCTCCTGAGTAGCTGGGATTATAGGCACGCACCACCATGCCCAGCTAACTTTTTGTATTTTTAGTAGACACGGGGTTTCACCATGTTGACCGGGATAGTCTCGATCTCTTGACCTCCTGATCCACCTGCCTTGGCCTCCCAAAGTGCTGGGATTACAGGCGTGAGCCACTGTGCCAGGCAACCTTATATTTTCAATAGTGACACAAAAATAAAACGGGCCAGGTGTGATGGCTCACGACTGCAATCCTAACACTGGGAGGCTGAAGCAAGAGGATCACTTAGGCCCAGGAGTTCGAGACTAGCCTGAGCAACATAGTGAGACCCCATCTCTCTTAAAAAAAATTTTTTTTAGCCGGGCACGGTGGCTCAAGCCTGTAATCCCAGCTCTTTGGGAGGCCGAGGTGGGTGGATCACGAGGTCAAGAGATCGAGACCATCCTGGTCAACGTGGTGAAACCCCGTCTCTACTAAAAATACAAAAAATTAGCTGGGCATGGTGGCTGGCACGTGCCTGTAATCCCAGCTACTCAGGAGGCTGAGGCAGGAGAATTGCCTGAACCCAGGAGGCAGAGGTTGCAGTGAGCCGAGATCACGCCATTGCACTCCAGCCTGGGTAACAAGAGCGAAACTCTGCCTCAAAAAAAAAAAAAAAAAAAAAAAAAAAAAAAAAAAAAAAAAAAAAAAAAAAAAAAATTTTTAAACACCGCTTTTTAATAAAAGCAACTGATAAAATTTTAAAAGATTGAATGGTAATATTAATGGATAAATTTCCCACATCTTGAAAATGTAGGTGCCAAAAAACAGCAAAATCAAGCTTGCTTCCTTAAATGATTTTGATCTCTTAATTTGGAGAATATTACAAATAACGAATCCTTTAATGACCTTCAGTTATCAGAGCAAATTAAAGTGGAGTTTATCAGTAATTGTCCTTTGTTATATTTATTTATTCAAATACTGAGAACCCGTATGTGCCAAATTCTATGTTGAGAAAGCTCCATGAACTTCCACGATAATTAGCAGCCTCAGGGAAAAAAATAATCTAGACCCAGATATGATATGATTCATTTGTAAAGAAAATATAATAAAACCAAAGTGCCATGTCCCCACCCACTTGACCCCCCACCCTATAAAGAGCTTGCTCTAAAAGGAAACCTCTCTAGCTAACATCCTTCCCCATCCTTCCTCTTCCAGCAACCTAAGCCCTATCTTTGCCTTACTGAAAGCCACACTGACCAACACTTTACCATTCATCCCTCTTCCCTCTTTAGAGTTGAACAAAACAGACATCCCAGCCCCCAAGGCCTTGTACAACTGTCTCAATTATGTGAGGATATGGCATTTGTAAGAGCAGGGGTCTGTCTTGAAGGAAAACCTGAACCAAAGTGCCATTAATGGGTTTATAAAGTTTCCCTCTGAAACCAGATCTGCGGAATGAAGGGGAGCAATTACCAATGAACTTGAGGCCCAGACACTCTAGATAACACAGTCTGTGCTTCCCCAAATGATTGCTGCTGACAACACACAGATACAAAGACATCAGCCAACTGGCTCCCTCAGCTGCTCAGTGTTACATTTGCCTTGCCTGGACTCGGAACTTCAACCTTACACTCAAGTGGAGAAAACAGACAAACCAGGAGTATGATGACTTGTGCCCGTACTACAGCAAATCTAATTTCCCTATTTACTCTTCTAAGAATTCACAATATAACAGGACTAAGGAAGGAATCTTGAGTTCCAGCAACAACCCTGCCATTCAGCAGATGGAGAATCTCTGACAAATAGCTTATAAGCCAAAATTCCTCTTCTGTTAGATGAGAAGGTTGAAAACAACAATTTCTGAATTCTCTCAGGATGATGGAAAGACATGGACCTTGCAATTAGGCCTGAGTTGAATTCTGCTTCTGCCACTCACTATAAAGCCTTAAATAACCTTATTAGGCCTCGTTTTGTTTTGTTTTGTTTTGTTTTTTTGAGACGGGGTTTCGCTCGTTACCCAGGCTGGAGTGCAATGGCACGACCTCGGCTCACTGCAACCTCCGCCCCCTGGGTTCAAGCAATTCTCCTGCCTCAGCCTCCCTAGTAGCTGGGACTACAGGCGTGCGCCACCATGCCCAGCTAATTTTTTTGTATTTTTAGTAGAGACGGGGGTTCACCATGTTGACCAGGATGGTCTTGATCTCTTGACCTCGTGATCCACCCGCTTCGGCCTCCCAAAGTGCTGGGATTACAGGCTTGAGCCACCGCGCCCGGCCGTTTTTTTTTTTTTTTAATACATAAAATGGAGCAAACGACCACCATACTGTATAGAACTATTGGGAGGATTCAATGGAGATAAATGTATGCAGAGCATCCAGTACAGTTTGCGACACGTAGTGGAAATGCGGAAACTCTTTTGGTACAATAGCATAATTCCTTCTGGGGATCATTGCAAAGATAGCCCAAAATAAGGGCTAGACAAGAAGTCCAGGAAGGCCGCCTGCTCCGCGGCTGTGAGGGGCCTCGCGTCGCGGGGCGGGCTCAGTGTGGGGGCCTCCCCAGTGAACTCCTCATAATGGCATGTGGGCGCCCACTTACTAAAAGAAAAAACAAGCTGCCATCTTGCAGAACATTCTGGAGAACACGAAGGGGCCACCGCTCCCTGAAGTGCCAACCAGTTCTGGGCCAAGCTGACAGACAACTTAGAGTGGTTTGATTGATTGATTGATTGACTGCGATCGAGCCTCACTCTGTTGCCAGGCTGGAGTGCAATCTTAGCTCACTGCAACCTCTGCCTCCTGGGTTCAAGCAGTCCTCCTGCCTCAGCCTCCCAAGTAGCTGGACTACAGGTGCATGCCATCACACCCAGCTAATTTTTGTATCTTTAGTAGAGATGGGGTTTCACCATGTTAGCCAGGCTGGTCTTGAACTCCTGACCTCAGGTGATCCACCTGCCTTGGCCCCCCAAAGTGCTGGGATTACAGCGTGAGCCACTACACCTGGCCGAGTTTTAGCTTTAAATAATTAAAAGAGGAAAACAGATACAGAATGGTTTTCAAAAGAAAATACAGGCAAGTTAACCTAACAGCAAAGGCTCAGAAACAGAGCTCAAGACCTCCAATACTGGAACAGGATTTCTAGAGATAAACTGTCTTGCTACTATTAGAATATATAACCAAGTAGCACCCAAATGGTATTGGAATAGTTCTAGATACTCACCTAGATGAAGCTCTAAGTTCTAGATGTAAGTATGGCACTAAATGCCACTAACTGATGGATCTTTGTTTTTCCACCAGTGAAAGGTACTGGAGCCAGACAATCTTTTAAGGGCCCTTGACCCCTTCCAATTTACAGTTTCTATCAACGCTAAAAATTCTTACCTGCAGATTTGGGGCAACCATCTGAGAGAGTCAAGGTTGCCTCCAAGGGGCTGCAAAAGCAGGTGCTGGAATGACAACTGGATAAACACTCACTGAACACCGAGTTAGAGGAATTGGAAAGGGATCCTGAAGCCCCATCACTCAGCTCATAAAACCCTACAAATAAAAATACCGTTGGAATTAAGATCATGTCAAGAAATAATGCATATTCATGCTTAAAAGAAAAATTAATCATTTAGGAAAAGAAGATTTGTTGGGTTTTTTGGCCAATTTTGGTTCACTGGACTTTGGTGTCCTAATATTATGGTCTTATTTCAAACAATTCTTAGGAAAAAGCAAAGAGCCCATAACCAGGAGTACATTTCAGTTACTCTCCCCATCAAACTAACCTTACTCCTTGACCCCGCCTTGAAGATGTCCAAGGAAAGAAACTTAGGTCTGTCAAAGCTTCATCTTTATCATGATTGTTTCAGAAAAAAATAAGAGAAAAATCTATTTAAGGAGCCAAATGGTTTAAAAGAAAAAAAAAAAAAAAAACTTTTGATGTGGTCTCAGGAAGTTGAAGTGTGACTAATTTTCTAGCCCAGTTCTGACTTACTCAAGTTTCAAAGGAGGGTAGCTCTTGCAGAAATTTGAATAGGTTTTATTTTTAAACTCAGGGGACTCCAGTCACATCAATCTCATTACTAAAAATTTTGTTGTCTGAGTTTATTTCCCTCTCTTTCAGATGAAACTGAATGACAGATCCCTCTCATTCATATGAAACTGAATGGCAGACTGCTTTTTTTTTTTTTTTTTTAAATTCTCTCTCTCTGCACTGGAAACAAACTCCACTACCATTTGCAGGTCTGGGAATGTTAACCACAGGGGCTGAGATAGACACTCATGAGTGCAGAATTCTGTCCTTGTGCTCCATCACTTACCTGAGCTAGGCCGGCTGTCTGTCTCCAGGTGCTCTTCAGATGTCTTTTCTACATCCAGTCTCAGGTCACTTATCTGCTTGTCAAGCTCTTGCAACTGATTCAACAAACCAGCATCTCTTCGCCTCAAACAATTCTGATTAGGAAGAAACAAAGGAAACATGAACATACAGGGTTGACAAAAGAACCAGAAAGTCTACTCTAAGGATTCAAATTACGCATTCAAAGAGTTCACTAAAACTTATAAAACCAAAATTTTACTGGATGACCTGAAATAAAGAAAAACTTCAAGAATTTAAGAATATGTCCTATGCTTAATTCTACTTTCTCACATTTTGTGGCAATATAAAGTTGTTTTAAGTTTCAACTAATATATACAAACTGAGATTTTTTATAGATAGGGAGAAGAAAAACGGACTGAGACTAAATCATCTGGTGTATAACCAGTCTTTTAAAAAACAATACTTCACCGTAGACTCTTTAATTTGAAGTTAGAGTAACAGATTTCCTATAATACACTAATCTTAGGTGAGATTTTCTGGCCAAATGTCTTGGCCTGCAGAGTTTTGTTTTCTATTAGTTGCTTTGTGGGGTTTAATCAGTCTTAGGGCCTTTGAAAGTGAGAAACTAATACAAATAGCCAATGCCAAGTATAATGTGAGCCAGCAGAATCCAAAACCCTCATGGGAAGGCCCATTGAGATTTGAACGCCTCTGGGTTTCCAAAGGTGAGAGATGGATTGTGCTAACTCACACTGCCACCTAGTGCTTCCTATTGCTGGAAAAGCAGGAGAACGCAAAAAGCATCTGGTTCAAATCATGAATGCCAAGTCTACAAATGAAAATAGTACCATAAACACTGACTGGACTGGAATTTTCTTGACACACTACCTTGCTCCCCTCAAGCAGACAATAGGAATGCGCCACTTACAGTCTTGAGATTCATGCAGCCAAAAAGGTGCAATTGCACAAGACAATAAAGTGTAAGTCACCAGTGAGAACTGGCTCAAATCAGTGTTACATACGAATCTGGTCTGTGACCAAAGAAGCACGGTAAAATACCAAAACAGAGATATTACACAAACCATAGTGTACATCTTTACAAAACACATGCATATGAATATCTACTCTTCTTGTCTTTAACTTAAAAAGCTTGGAGACATAAATCGTATGTTTGTTTGCTACAATTAATTTCTTCAGGAAAAATGAACCTATCAAATAAAAGTATTTTGGTGCTTAAACACACACACACACAGAAATGATCTGAAAAGAGCTACTAGAAGAAAACACATGACAACCTCGCAGCATCACTACTTCATTGTGGGAGGGCCACTGTCTGGCCTGTGTCTAGTTTAGCTGGATCACTCGGTCAGGTGAGGACGTTTGCTGTTTCCAAAACCACATTTTGAGGTCACTGAAAACAAAGCTGCCGCCATTATTCTGAGGCGGGGTCAAAAGCTGTTCATCAATACATTAAGCTCCAAAGTTCTTTTTCTTCCCCCTTAATGAAGGCTGCACAGAATGACTGAGACGCTGACAGAAATCCAGTTAAGATAAATGTTCCCCGAGAGCAGGTTCTCGTCTCCCACCTCCACCACCAATCACAGCTGGCAGAACACAACGTATAAAACATGAGCGGAGGGGACACAGTCTCCAGCCAAATTTCCATCATTTCCATCTAGTTTGAGCTGCCTTATACAAAGGGCTTCTATTTGAAATTAAGCACCAGCCTGGGTGAAAGCTGGCATGCTGAGATCTCTGGGAGAGGCACAGCTCCCTACAGGCGCTCCAGGGTAATCGTAAAACTCGGCGTTGGACAGTTAAGCACGCCACAAACCCCCTCCTTGGCTTTTGGCCTCTCTCGGCGGGAAGAGAGGAAGCCAAGAAAACCTCCAAATAAAATGGTATTTTAAGTGGGAGTTTGCAAACCTCTGGGGAGAGGGCATATACTCAACTAACTAAGGAGACCGAAGGTTAGAACTAGACGACTCCGAGAATCTCGAAGGCAGAGGAGGAGGGAAGAGCAGCCACCCACTTCCTGCGATCCGCGCGAGGTCGCCAGACACAAAGCGGGCACACGCCAGAAACGCGTGGGCGTCGGCAGCCCACGCGCCGCGGGCATTCAGGAAAGGGACCAGGGAGGTACGGGGTGGGCGGGGGCGTCCCGTAACAGCGAGCATCTCCCCAGCCAGAGCTAACCTCGAGCCCGCCCCAGGCCACCTGCCTGACCTCCAGCCCCGGGGCAGCTACAGCCGTGCTCCACCTTCAGAACGACTTACCAACTGCTTTCGTAGCAGCAAGATGTTCTCCTCCAAGAACTTCTCCTCCAGGCGGCTGCGCTGCGCCGCCTCCCCCGGCAGCTCCCCTGCGCGGGGCGCAGCGGCCCCCGAAACCCCGGGGCCGCGCAGGGCGCCCCGGACCAGCAGCTCCTGGCGCTGGCGCAGGTACTCCAGCTCCGCCAGCCCGGCCAGCGTGGCCTCTTGCCGCTCCCGGGTGCGCTGCCGCTCCGTGTCCGCCTCGCCCTTCTCCCGCCAGCGCCCTTCGGGCTCCACCGCGCGCTGCTCGCCTCGGGCCGGCGCCGGCGCCTCCAGCTCCCTCGCCGTCCCGACCGGACTCGGCTTCATGGCCCCCAATCGGGCAGCGAGCGCCGTCAGCTCAGCCGGGCCGCCGGGGCGGAGGAGCAGGGCGCTAGGGCTGCGGCCGCAGACTCATGCCGCCCCGCGGCGGGGCGCGGCGCTGGCGGGGGCGGCGGCCAGAAGCCCTCGGGTCCTGCGCGCGGCCGCCGGCTGCAGCCGTCCCGGCCCGGGCGGCGCCGTCCGCTGTCGCCGCGCGTCCCTCGCCGAGGCCCGGCAGCTGATAACGCCCTGCCCGGAGCTACGTCACGCGCGGCAGCCCCGCGAACCCCCGCCCGGCGCCCGCCTCCCCGCCCCGGCCCCTCGGCTGCGACGCTCGCGCCCCCAGGCTTCCCCTCTTCTGTCAGGCGCGCCGCCGGGCGCTCCGAGCCGCCGCCTCCTCGCTCGGCCCTCCCCGCCCCTCCCCGCCCCCTCCCCCGCTCTCCCCGCGGGCCTCCTCGCCCCCTTTTCGGGTTTACTGCCCCCGATTTTGCCCTCGCTCCTCATTGGCTCTTTCCCGTCGCCCAAAGCTCGGGGCGAGCGCCTGGAGCCCCAGCATCCTGTTACAGGGGCCGCGACGGGACGCTGCAGTCGGGCTCTCCGGAGAACTTTCTGCAACTCGACCAAGTTGCAGCCGTCTTAACCCTTTCCCCACACGGCCACTCCTCGTTTCCACTCACACCGAGTTAGGTTCCTTTCCCTTCCCAAGCCGGGTACTGCGAGTGTATGCACAGAGGAGTCCTGAGGGCTTGGTCCCTCAACTCCACTGTGTAAAGGCAAGCCATACAGAGCACAATGCAATGTTGTTCTAAAACTGTTAACTTTCGTTGTCGTTTTAATTTTTTAACGTCTTACTGTGGATGGCATTTAAAAGTAGGCAGGAGGATATCGCTGTATATACCGAGAGGTTGCATCGCTTCTTTTACAAGCCTACGGTTTGAGTGCACGCGCGTGCGCGCTTTGGTTTTTGTTTGAGCTTTTATTATTACTTAGTCTCAGTTTACAATAAGAGCTCTGACTCAGAAATCAGACTGTCTGGATTTGTATCCCAGTTTCACCCCTAAATAGCTGTGCGGGCAACTTACTCCCTTCTCTGTGTCTGTTACCCCCACTGTGAAAGGAAGCAGCTGCTATGGGAAACTGCTATTGAAGAATTATAATAATATGCAGCATATGATAGATATTGTGGGGGCTGTGCACTCACAACGTGGCTAGCACATAGGTAGTAAGGGTTATGTAAGTTACAGCTTTTCTCCAGAGGGATTTAAAAGTCTTCCCTCTTGAAGTGTCATGTATTGATCACCTCTGCTTGGAACACACTACTCCAGACCCTTATCCCACCGAAATTTCCGGTGGGAGAGGTCTGGAAATGCCACTAGCTGGCTTATCTGTGAAAAAGTACCACATATATCTTCAAAAGCAGTACATCCAAGAACCTCGGAAATTCAATCCCGCAAGTCACGATTGCTGAAGTTCAGGCGAAGTGTTGTGTGAAGGAGTGATCCTATATCCTTATTTCAGACACGTGCACTTTTGCCCATCTGCTTACCCCTGCCAGGAATACCTCTTCTTTTCTCCCCTCTCTGTGTGGTCTACTCTCAGTTCACTCACGTTCCTCCTTTGAGCTCCAGTAAACTATATAAATACCTGGTTCTTATCCCATGCTACCTGTAAGGTGACTTACCTGGATGTGCACACACATATCTCTGTAGGTAGGTGTTTATATGTATCTCTTTTCTCCGTCTACATTACGACAGCTACCTCAAGGCAGAGACTGTTTCAATACCCTCTTAGTATCACTGTCTTCAGCACATTACCTTGCAAGTATTCACCTGACAATTGCTAGCGAGAGACTCAAGATAATGTAGATTGGTTGTAAATTGTTTTTTCACTAACATACTCTTAAGCTAACTTTTAAGCTTAATAGTGTCCATTTAATCTCTACTACAAATAGAATTAAGTTGACATTTACAAAAAAATACAAAAACAAAAGAACTCCCTTGCCACTTTTCACTTTCCTCCCCATTGCTGCCTCCCACAGACATGAAAGGAACTACAAACTTGATTCATAATTAACAAGGTTGTATATTAGATCTAAAAATGGAATTATGGTCAGGTGTTCGCAAGCATACAAAATCAATTCTATTCAGGTTATCTATTCTTTATGCCTACTGTTGCCAAACACTGCATTATAATACAGGAACTAATTTTCCTCCCTAATTTTACTAAGGCACGAAAGAATAATGACTTATCCTGCTTGCCAAATGCCACTCGCCCTTGTCCTCTGTCATTGTTTCATTCTACTCATTTCTAAACAAGCTTCTTGCTTTCTAGCTCTGAATTAGATTCCTCTGGCTGGGTGGAGTCTATTATTGTGGCCTGTGTTATGTCACACATCAACAACTAAATTTATATAGTTGAGGGAGAGAAAAAAGCTGAAACACATTTTTACACACAACTAATAAATCTTGTAAGGCAGGCAGACAAGTCGCTATGTCTCCAAACCTCCCCACCCTCCCAACTGCCCTCCTCACCAAATGCCACTTTGAGCTGGCTCATTAGTCCAAAGTAAGCCATTTGCCATAACAGCTTGTATATCTCCATGAAAAAGTGTTCTCAGCAAGTTTAAATATTAAAACTAATGTATTCAGATGGTTCCACCAATAAAATGGTCACAAATCGGAAAAAAGGTTATGCTTTCCAAAGTATCCATTACACATTAATAAATAATGCTGTTCATTCACATGCCAATTAAAACAAACTCGGCTGTCAAATGAAGTTAGAAGCAAGGAGCTCAATGCTGTAATTGTTTTTCCAGGAAAACTCCCAATGTCATCAGATTAAGTGAGATGGGCTGGGTTGCCCCTATTCTCTTTTTAAGCTAGCAGTGAAATTTTCTCCCCTCCAGTCTAGTTCCCTGGATTTTCTTTCCTCTTTGATTCTTTTGTTTTCATTGCAGGTATTCCAGAAGCAGTTGAAAGTCATCGCCCACTGCTCCCTTATGTTGCCAACAGAATCTCACTTCCCCCTACTGTTTTGATTTTTCTCTCGCTTTCTTTTTAGAGCAGGTGCTGGTACTTCCTCCTCCACGAGTGCTATTTCATTATCTCCTTTCTAATGTTCTTCAGCCCTCGTTGGTTCCTTTGCTTTCCCTGAACACTTCTGTCTTCTCAGAAAAACTGTTAATTGACACTCAGAAAGTGGACCACTAAAGATGGGGTGGACCTGCCACATGGAAAGTCTGGAAACTAAGTTGCCAGCATGAAGAGGAGTCTTGGCTGAATATATTACAGTTGTGTGGCTTATGATCGAAGAGCTGTCCTGGGCAGAGCCAGAAAACATCCCTCATACCACATAGTCTGATGTTTTGCCCTTAGGCAGAACAGCTCCTAACAGCACCCCCACCAAAGTCTGAGCATCATTCTACAAATGCCTTGTCCAGCAGTGAACATTCTATTGCAGCCAAGCAAAGTAAGGAGTATCAACGGCACATTTTGCTATCAAGCAAAGCAACAAAATGATGCCTTGCAGCTTTTATGGCGAAACAAACACAAATGATGTAATTGGGAAAAGCTGTCTCCTAATAGGAGGAAAAAAGTAAAGGGCAATCCTTTGAGTTGGAGTGATGACCACCATTCGAGGGTCTGGGATCAAAGCCCCAGCCAGACATCAAAGCCCATTTGAGTCTAATGCCAAAAGAGCCACAGTGAATTAAACTTCGTATGTAAACTAATTATAGCTTGACCCCACAATCAGGCTTCAGTGAGCACACAGGGAAAGAAAGATCTTTTGAAACAAAAGTTCAAGAAAAAAGAAACTTGGTAGCAAAACGGGGCGACATCATGGCCCTGAAAATTTTAAACATCTTTTGAGGGCAGAGGGGAATAGGGGAATACCAGAACAAACAGCAAAAGTTTGACAATGCGGATCTTGTTTGAAAGGCTATGAAACGACTCTTTCCATCCTCTCTGACTGGTGCACAACCAAACATGACCAAATAAATCATCATAGAAGAAAAGGTTATCTTTTAGCTGTATTTTAGTGCTGTTAAAGAGGTTGTATGTAACCAGGTTTTGTTGAAGAAGCACAGGGCGATTCCATGAAGTTTGGCGATAAGTTCTTCAGGAAGCTCCGACTTTCTCATGCAGAGCACTGTGGATTCCAAAGATTCTAGAATGTCTGGAAGTAAGCTGTATTCCCCACCGTCTTAGTCACTGATTCAGGTGATTAAGGCTCCACCAACTTCAGACTTCTGTCCCTTAGCTCTGCCATTTCTACCGGTCATCTTTACAGAGAGAAGGTGAAGAGTACCATGTGTGCACATACCTAGAGCTACATGCTGTGGTACTACAACCATGAAAGGATTTCATTCCAAAGCAAAATTTAAAAGTGTTTCAGAGACAAGTGGCTTTTTTTTTTTTTTTTTCAGACAGGCTGGAGTGCAGTGGCACAATCTCAGATCACTGCAGCCATGACTTTCCAGGCTCAAGTGATCCTCCCGCCTCAGCCACTCAAGTAGCTAGGACTACAGGCTAATTTTTGTGTTTTTTGTAGAGATAGGGTTTTGCCATGTTGGCCAGGCTAGTCTTGAACTTCTGAGCTCAGGCAGTCTACCTGTCTTGGCTTCCCAAAGTGCTGGGATTACACAAGTTGCTTCTTTAAATAATTGTATTAGGTGCATTTTGCCCTTATTCTGCTTTATTGGGACCATTTCCCTGATTATTTAAAAATTTTAGGCCGGGCGCGGTGGCTCAAGCCTGTAATCCCAGTACTTTGGGAGGCCGAGGCGGGTGGATCACGAGGTCGAGAGATCGAGACCATCCTGGTCAACATAGTGAAACCCCGTCTCTACTAAAAATACAAAAAATTAGCTGGGCATGGTGGCACGTGCCTGTAATCCCAGCTCCTCGGGAGGCTGAGGCAGGAGAATTGCCTGAACCCAGGAGGCGGAGGTTGCGGTGAGCCGAGATCGCGCCATTGCACTCCAGCCTGGGTAACAAGAGCGAAACTCTGCCTCAAAAAAAAAAAAAAAAAAAAAAATTAATTTCACAAACTGGCAAACAATTGTATATATGATTTCATGATTCATAGACTCTTTTCAATCACATTTTTGTAAATAAATGTTAGTGTTTTCTTTTTTTTTTTTTTTTTTTTTTGAATACTCACGACATTTATTGAGTACCTAACATATATACTAGGCACTGGGGATACAGCAGTGAGCAAGTCAGATACAGTCCCTATATTCATGGAGCTTATGGTCTAGAAGGTAAATGGGACACTAATTAAATAATCACATACATAAGTGTGTATGTGTGCATTTACAAATTGT